GGGAGGGGAGGGGAGGGGCTACTGTCTGAGGTACCATCACCAGTTTTTCTTGGCAGACACCGGAGAACAAGTTTTGGTTGACGTGGAGGATAAAACCAACAAAGAGATAACCGAGCACATTAAAAAAATCCTGGGAAAAAGCAAGTAAGTGACATTTCAAAAAGCTCCACCCAAATGCTCTCTGCCAACTCCTGGCCCCTGCAGAGAGGGAAGTCCCAGTTTGCCCAGACAGAATTGGCATGCCCTAGGCAACGTCCACGAGCTAGGAACTGGAAATCCCTCTGTGGCAAACGGGGACTGGGGCAGGGAGAGGAAGAGTTGCCCTGCAGCTGCTGACAGTGACACTGGGGTCTCTCCTCCAGAGAAACGCTTGAAAGAGAGGAAAGAGAAAGGAAGAAGCTCTCACACCCAGCAACCTTCGGTCCCAAGAAGTATCATCTGCGAGAATGCATGTGTGAAATCGAGGGCCAAGTTCCCTGCCCCGCTGTTGTGCCGCTGCCAAAAGAGATGAGGGGAAAATACAAAGCTGCTCTGAGAACGGACGCAGCAGCCTGACCCGAGTCGTGCGCTGGTTCCGCCTCAGGCATGGATGCTCGAGCCACTCCAGTGAGAGCCGAGAGCTCCTGGGGGGAGGAAGGAGCGGGTTCACATGCTGTAGCCAACCCTGTCTCGGCAGCCTTCCCCCAGCTGCAGCCGGTACAGCTACAGCAACAATAAAGACAAGCTCAGAACTTGGCTTCTTGTGATGGCAGCTTCCCACAGCCTTAGCACTGCGCGAAAGCGGGGCAACGCGTGGCCCAGGCGCAGGGCGCTCCGCCGCACAGCAGAGCGGGCACGTTGGGACGCGAAGGACACGCTGTGCACCCGCCTGTCCTGTGCTCCTGCAGCCATTTACAGCTGCTCTTCCATCAGGGCAGTGTCCTAAACGGTCGCCCTTTAAACCAGCCACATCAAGGAGAGCTGTGGCTAGACAGGCACATTGCAGGCAGCGAGCCCACCGTGCTCGGTCCAGTGCTGCTGCGGGCCTCTGCTTGCCCCAGACACTCCTGCTCCCTGGCACATGGTCACGAACGCCACCTAACTCGGTTTCTGCCCCAAACGGTTCCACTGTCCCTGGAGCAGCACAGACACTCGTATGAGATGGTGCTGCGCTGCTGGGAGCGTGGCTGCCGCACAGGCCTGCGAGGCCGGGTTAGCTGTGCAGGTCACTCTAGCAGGTCCTGGATTTCAGCATTTCTGAGCTGACGGACCAGGACACAAGCTCACCCCACGCCAGGGGCCCGTAAGCACTGACAGGGGCCAGTGCAGCACAAAATAACCACGGGTTTATTTCAGGGCTGGTTACAGGTTCCGTACGGAGTAGTGCATGCAGTCTCAACGAGAGCCCGTGCTAACCATTGCTGACCCATGGGGCTCAGATGGCTCCGGCCCGTCATGCCCTGCGAGCCCCACGGCAGTCCAGACACCGGCCTAAGGTCTTCACTGCGGCGATGACCGTAGTATGGGGCGTCTGGCCCATGCCGTGTAACGCTGACCGAGGTCAGGAGGTATGCCAGGCTGTGACCCACTCCTAGGCGTCCGTTGTTACGTCTACAAGGATACCGCAGTGATTAGTGTGTTAGGCTGGAAGTGCGAGCAAGGCAGTGTGGTCGCAGCAAGGAAAACACTCCGTACACGTGACCCTGAAGCCACTGAAGTGTTTTCTGTGCCCTTAGTGCAGGGAGCGATTCTCGGGGTGGCAAACCAGTCTGCCCTACATAACTACCTCACGCCATGTCGGTTACCGCAGACACCCCAAGGATTACGTGTAGCTACCTCAGCGCTCACCTCCCGCTGTCTCCGTAACTGCGGTGCCACCGTGCACCCTTCAGCACCCTGTTCTGCACTCACGGAGTCAGTGAAGTGACCGACCGGCTCGGCACAGCAGCTCCTGCTCTTGTCCCGCAGAGCCCTCGACTTCAAGCTGAGGCAGCGGCAGGGAGAGCGCTGGCTGACCCTAACTGCCAGCTCCGATCGGTTACTGCTGCTCCTGAGCAAGGACAGCGGTGATGGGGGTTGTTTATCAACAGCCCCACAGGCCCCTGCCTCCACTTACTGAAAATTCCCGCTCTTTGGGTGACGATGGGCCTCCGCAATACCACGCAACGCTGGGGCTCCAGCTCTGCCCCACATACCAGCAGAGATGGGGTGATGGGCCCGGCCCCTTGCCTGTTGCGCAGGCGCTTGCACCCGTGAGTCAGCCCACTGCCCCAGACAGCGCGACTGGCCCCACTTCCCACTACTTCACCTCTACATGAATGGCCTCGCCACCGACCCCCCCCCATGACCTCTGCCTTGCCCCAGCACACAGCGGGGCAGCTCAGGCTGAGCTAACCCTGAGGCTCATCCCCAGCCCTCCCGCATCACAGCTGCCCGCCAGCCCCCACTCCACAGCAACACCGGACCGCTCCCGCCGGGAGCTGCTGACCTGGGGCAGACACGTCCGAGTCTGACACCAGCGTCCAAGGGGGCTCAGCCTGCTCAGATCCGAAGTAGCAAATCAGTCGGGAGCGGCTGCTCAGCCCTGCCACAGCCAGACTGTCTCCCAGCTTCCGCACAATTCCAGCTCAGCAGCACTTCGGCTTCCCACTGCCAACAAGGGTCTGTCCCCTGGCCACTACAAGGAGAGGGTTCCAGTCTCACGGCCACGACAGCCGTGATCATTTTGTCACCTAGAGGGTCTAAAGGGATGTGAAGAATCCATGGAACAATTAGGAGTGGGAGGGTCACCCTTTACATCAGAGTATGAAGTGGTGCTGTCCCGATGCTCTTTCCCCTGGCAACGAGCGGGGACTTGTTCCCACACAGGCAGGTCCCGACGCCAGCGTGGCGCTCCGCACGCTGCACTCTGTGCTCACGGCAAGTGGGAAACTGAAGGTGCTGGAAAGCCCGCATCCAAGTGTTGTTACGAGGAATTTTCATGAGCTCGGTCGAAGCTACTGACACGAACATCAGTCAGAAAGGCCTTCCGGGTCCCCAAATCCCTTGTGCCTCTTGGCGCTCCAGGGAGCTGCTCCGCAAGCCTTTGTACTCTGCCCCTCCCAGAACCACAGGAGCCTCGTCGGGGCCCTTTCTGACAGCACGGGGCAGCCGGGAGCCCGTAACTGCGCCGAGTCGCAGCCAGGGGTGTCCCTCTGCAGCCCCAGCCCCACCACAGGCCGAGAGTCCAGCGGCAGGGGGGACAGACACCAAACCAGCCGCTCGCCCATCGCAGATCCCTGCCCGCACGCAACCACCCTGAGCCACGCTCCAGAGGAGCGCAGGAACAAGTCCCGGTGAAGTCATCTGCTAGCACGCACGTTTGAGAGCGGCAGCGCAGCTCTCCGTGCTTCCTGCCAGGCTTGCTGCCACCTGCTCGGCCTTCCCGCGATTCAGGGCGGGCGCAGCACAGCTCCTACACGGCCCTGCTGCAGCCTCAGCAGCCGGATCTCTCCTTCTGCTTGGCTAACGTGCGCTTCAGTTCCTGCAAGTTCTCGGTCAGCACCTCCACCTCATCCAGGCGCCCGCTGTGTTTGGCGTCAAATATGTAAGCCTTGATGTTATCGATCTGCTGGAGAAGCAGCTCTTCCTCTATCGCCTCTTCAGCAGCGGCCTCGTGGCCATCCTCCACGTCGAAGGGGTTGGTGGAAGATCCCTCTTCAAATGGATTTCCACAATTCCAGACGCCCCCAGGCTTTCGAAAGGGATTTTCGTCCTCTTCAAAAGGGTTGGAAGTACTGCTGGGCGCTCCGTTACTTCGCTGCTGCTGCTCCTCCTCCTCCTCCTCCTCGTTTTCGAACGGGTTATATTCTTTCCTGTCACTGGGCAGAGCTGTCTTAGAAGCCACTGGGGAAGTGTCCCTGGCAAAGGGGTTGGCAGGACCCTCCTCTGCCTGTGGGGTACCCACTTCATCTTCAAAGGGGTTTAGACAGGTGGGCTCGCCTCGGTCTCTGTCACCCTGGGGCACGTTCGGGACTCGGGGCGCGAGGCCCAAGCGCTCTGTAGGTGGCAGCTGCTCAGCAGCAGGAGTCTGAAAGCCGGGAGCCCCCTGCAGCCGGGCACCATCCCGGTCCGAAGCACGTGCTTCCAAGTCCCCATCCTCTTCTGCAACATCACGCTGGTGCTGCCTGACTTCTCTCAAGTCCAAGGAGCGCATCCTCGCATGCTGAGACAGGAGCTTGTGCTGTTCCCTTTCCCACTCCTTCTCGCAGAGGACCTGAAGCTCCTCCCTCTGCATCTCTTCCTCCTCGGCCTGTTTTCTAGAGAGCTCGATCGCTCTCAGGGTTTGCTGTTGGTCGTATTCATCCTGAAGCTGCCTCAGGTTCTCCTGCAACATGAGCACCTCATCCGCCCTGTTCGCTGCCTGCGCTTGCTGAATGAAGGAGGTGATGTTGTCAATCTGCTGGAGGAGGGGGTCTGCCATCTCGCTCGCTCTCGACACGCCGGACGTAGGTAACCAGCCCTCCGACGGCCTGGCGGTTCCTCTCCTTGGGGCAGTGGCAGCCCCATTAACTGCAGATCCGGAGGCCAAGTCTTTCTGCTTTTCTTCTTGTTTTCCACGTGTTTCAGGAGCCACCTGAAACAAAACCCGTGCGGTAAGAGAAGAGCAGGAGCCTGGAAAATTCCACTCTCCCTGTCCAAGGAGCTCGGGCATGGCTGGCTGTGCCTGAGTGGGACTGGCCGCATTCCCGGCGACTCCATGCAGAACTCCTCTTTTCCCAATTCACCCCAATATGCCCTTTATTTGTGGTGCTACTGACCCAACTCCCACGCCAGCCGCCTCTGCGAACTTGCGGGCAAAGAGGAGCAGTGGTGGTGCTTTACGCAGGGCAGCCGGATGCCTGAGGGTGCCGTGCAGTCACCCCGACCAGCGCAGGCAGCGCCCGCATCACACGTGCCGGCGGCAGACACCTCCCACTGAGCGCCCCTGTTCCGGCTCACCGATACCAGCACCTTCCGGAGCATAACGGTTCTTATTTCTCAGCTCTTCTCTCAAGGTGGAGCCGGTTTAGTGTACAGCGGCGTCCCCCCTCCTCAGCACCCTCTGGCTCTGCAGAGCCATCCCCATCGCCCCGGTGCTCTGCCGGTTCTGCTCGTGCAAACCAACGCCGGAACCCGGCGCTCGCTCGCGTACGCGCTGTGGGGCACGCGCTGCGCGCTCTGCGGCAGAACCAACACCCCCTGAAGTGCCACAGCTGCCCGGCACGCACCCACGCGGGTCTGGGCCGAACGCAACGCTGCTGTGACGGCAGTCCTGACAAAAGGCGTGGAATGATCTGCATAAATAACAAGGCCCTGAAATCCAGGGCTAAAGGCAGCTGCTGGCACACGCAACCCGGCTGAGGCCCTGCAGGGAGGCCCCGACACGAGAGGCCACAGCTCCTGTCTTACCACGTGCACTCGTCTCTTCTTCAGCTCTTCATACTGGTCTTTGGTTGGCAGGGACATGAGGCCAAGCAGTTTTTCCTGGGAAAAAAGGATGCACGTTGTGTTGCTGACAGGCATCCAGCCCGTTTCCAAGTACTCAAACCGAGATGCCACCGACGGAACAGCCCGCAGGCAACCAGAAGGTACGTGTACGCTGCCGCCGCAGCTCTGAGCGCGTCTTGGCCGCTGCGACCATAGCGCTGGCGGGGTTCACAGCTCAGCGGGAGGCAGAGCCAGCTGCCAACCCTCCTGGGTCTCTGAAGTCCGCGCGGCCCTGGCCACACTCTCTGCTCCAGCCAGCTGACACGAGGCCCCCCTGAGCCACTGGGGCACTGCAGAAAGTGCAGCAGCTGAGCTGCACCAGCAGAGCAGTGTCACAGCACAGGGACGCCCAGCGGTCAGGGAGCGCCGCGGAAACCGCGCACCCGGCACCAAGACGTGCGCTCCTTACCTGAACAAAAAGGGTAGCTGAGTATCTTATCATCCTCTGAAGCTGCAGGGTCCTAGGATGAGGTTGGGGGTCTTCATGCAAGCCCAGACTCAAAATCTTCTTACTGAATGGAAAAGAACAGACAGCACCATCAGTTCCAGAACCAGGGCCCGGGAAAAGGCCACAAACAGGGAGAGACAACACGGGAGGAAAACTTTACAGTGTTGCGTGGGGCAAACCGTTCTGGACACTGCGTGTTACCACACTGCCCGCTCCCACCTTCTGCGACCCACACCACACGCCCTCCCCTCCCCCTTGCCGCTGCTGCTTCCCTCCGTGCTTCGCTGGCCCCCTGCAGAGGAGCTTTCCGACTGGAACCGGCAGGAGAACGCGACGGTGCGCAGCCACGGAGTGGACCCTGCGACACGCCGGCGACCGCCTGGCAGACACATGGCTCCCCCGTACAGAGGCGCCACTCCCAGCGACAGCTGCAGCTGGGGACGCTACCGAGGGCTCATGCCAGAGGGAGACGCACGCGGGGCAGAGGTACCTTAAGGCGTCTATGAGCTCGTAGACCTTCTGAATCTCCAGCCGCAAGGCGCTGGCGTGTTCCAGGCTGTAGGCCGTCTCCCCGGCGCTAGGACAGAAGCGCAGCTTTACCCTAAGTCCTGCTGACGACGCACACAGCCCCCCGAGCTGCCCCGCGGCCGCAGAGATCCCACCCTGGCGAGACCAGGGTGAGGGATGCCATTTCAGGCTCGTTGGCTCCAGCCTGTCGTCCTGACGGGTGGGAAGGGAGAGCCATGGCGTGACCGCGAGCGTTCCAGGGCAGGGCTTTCACAGAGCTGCGTTCACGCCCACTGTTGGTGGGGAAACCCTAAACCCGGGAACATCTGAAACGCACACACATCTGCTGTGGGGTTTTCTCCGGGCAACCAGGCGCAGACAGAACGCCGAAGGGTCGAAGTGACATCCTTCTCTAGCGATGTTTGTCAGGGCAGAAGCCTGCAGCCCCTCCGGGGTGACACCGCATGTGCCAGTCACGGAACATCCACCGGGGACAGGATCCGGCACACGCTCCTCACCAGAATCTGACGGCCACTGACCACCCAAGAGAGCATTTCATGGGGAAGAGTCTTCACCAGTTTGCCCCTTCCCTCTCCTTTCACGCCCCAAGTATCACTGCCTGCAAAGTGCCCTCACTGTCCCCAGCGCAGGTCAGAAACCTTCCCTTTCCGCAGCCAGCGGCCTGTTGGTCCCCGACAGGTGCTTCTGTGACCCGGGGCGTTCGCACGCTCTCCTTCCTCCAGCTGGCACATCAACACCCGCCCTCCAAGTCACGACAAAGAGCATTAAGAGTCGGGCACGTCTGCCACCATCCCTGCTGCTTCCTTCCTGCTGGCAGGTGTTTGTACAAACCCAGGTCCGTCACGCACAGCAGCCTCATTTTTCAACGTCCCATCAGACCCAAAGAACACGCACCGAGGCGTCTGTTTGCTTCGCAACGGGCACGCTCCTGCTCCGAGACTGAGGTGTGAGTGTGGCCAGACAGGCCCCGCCAGCCTCTCAGCCAGAGGGGGTCCCGCAGCCCCGTGCGAGAACGCTGCTGCTAGAACCTGGGCGTGAGCTGCAGCACAGGGCTGCCGGCTGGACGTCCCGCTGCCCGGTGGAGGTGGCTGACTTCCTGCGGGAACAGGCAGGAGGCGTTCCCAGGCCCCTGGGCTTCTGGCACAGGTTCCCTGTGACCTGGGAACCGTCCCGTCCCACGAGGGGCAGCAAGATCCCCACCAGGCTCACTGACACAAGTGTCGCCTTGCCCTTCCTGCTGGCAGAGATGACAGAGCCACCTCACCCGGAAGGGGCCTTGAAGGCACTAAGAACCGAGACTACTTGTACACAGAGCTACCGTGAGCAACTTGTACGCAGAGCTACCGTGAGCAACACGGTGCCGCTTGGCCTGAGGAGCGCCCAGAAGGGACAGACGGCCCAGCACTGCTTTTTCTTAGCATTCTCACCCCTCTGCAGCCTTAGCTTGCCACTTCCTCACTCCTCCCCACACTTCTGGGGAGAAAAACCCGCAAATGCAGAAACACAAGTCAGCAAACAGGCCTTACTTCAGGGATTCTGCCATCCTGATGTATTCCGGTGCCTTCTGGTCAACCTTCTCCATGCACAGGCGGAGTTTCTGGTTCAAAACAAAGCGTGTAAAAAGAACTTGTATTAAAGCAGCCACAGCAGAGCCTGCTGGCATGGGCCTCATGCTGTCGGTGCCACTCAGGGGTAAGTGTGATGAAAGCCGTTCCGCTGTGCAGGACATGGGGCCCCTCCAGGTCCCTTGCGGATAGGACAGCACGGTCGGGAAGAGGGAAAGCCTCGCGGTAGCCCTGCAAGGTGCACTCGGAATTCAGCAACTGTTTCATAGAATCATAGAATGGTTGGGGTTGGAAGGGACCTTTAAAGATCATCTAGTTCCAACCCCCCTGCCATGGGCAGGGACACCTTGCACTAGACCAGGTTGCTCAAAGCCACATCCAGCCTGGCCTTGAAGACATCCAGGGATGGGGCATCCACAGCTTCTCTGGGCAACCTGTTCCAGTGCCTCACCACCCTCTCTGTGAAGAATTTCTTCCAGACATCTAATCTAAACCTCCCTGATTTCAATTTATACCCATTACCTGGACATCTGCCTCCCGCCTCTGCCCAAAGCACCAAGAGACACTCCCAGGAATGCTGCCCAGGGGCTGGGCGGAGGAGAGACCTGGTGACTGCCAGCACCTGCTGGCAAAGCTCCTTTGGACACAGCGTTCCGGCCGCACGCTGCTCAGGGACAGACAGTTCAGACAAGCGTTTGCCGTCGGCGGGAGGCCAATCAGTGCGTGGCCAAGTCCCACAGCTCCAGCGCGCCCCGAGGCGCACAGCGCATCACCCGTGGAACCAAGAATTGTTGAGGAATGCCAGCTGACACCCTTCACAGTTTGAAGAGAGGCACCTCAGAGCTACGAGTTCCAGATGATGAGAGCAAAGACGTAGCTCTCAAATGGTATTTGCGTCATCAGGGGATATAAATACCGTATGGGAACTGGCTCCATCACTCCAGGTGTGTCTGTGCTAGGCGGTATACGCGCCCAGGGAAGCCCGTTCTAAGTTAAGTGAGTACCGAGTCAGGAGAGAGGAGCTTGGACACGAGAACTAAGGCCAGAGTGCAGCAGTGAGAACGGCACGCAGGTACAGTGAGGGCGCGAGCAGCAGCGTCTCATCTACCTCGTAGAGCTTGACGATCTCTGGCGTGTACTCCCGCTCATCAATCTGTTGCTCTCTTTTCAACAGGGTGTCTTTGCAGTGCCGACAGCAACGGATCCGGTCGTCGTCCTTCTCCTCCAGAACTGAGCTCACGCTGCTCACGCTGCTGATGCTGCCGCGGCGGGAGCCATGGACGCTGTTAGGCGAGGAGTTGGGGCTACTGTGGGAAGCCAAGGCCTCTTTGCTGGCAGTAGTGAGTTTGCCTACAAAGGGTACACGGGACACGTCACAGCCAGCGGAGAAGGCAACAGGTTTTGCCAACACCCAGGAACTGCCCTTTAACAAAGTTTACATCCCGGTAACATTAGAAAACCCAGCTGAAATGCTGGAAGACATGCAAGGAACCCTGGACAATCAGGAGTGCAAGTCAGAGCGTGCGTCTTCGCCGCACGCCCTGCTCCAGTCTAAAAGCGGCTGGAGCGCGGGCTGCTGAGAAGCAGCCCCTCTGCCTCCACCCAGGAGCATCTCCCGTCGGAGCCTGCACAGCTCCAGCACAGGGCGTGAGAGAACACGTCAACACGGTCCCCGCTCTGGGCTTGCCCACTCCAATAGCGCAGGTACCAGCGTTTATTCCCGCAGGAAACGCAGTCTCCGCTGGGATGCGCTGCACGGGGAAATGGAAGTCGGAAGGGTTTCTTAATGGCTCTGGGTGCCTTTCCTTAATGTCAGCATTTGGCCGACCATGGGCAGGACTAGGAACACCCACCACAGTTAAGTGCCAAGGGCAGTTGCCATTCCCCAAGGTAACACCTTCGCAGCTGCCGTACTCAGTAGCGTGAGGCGCTGAGTAACTCGTGGTATGCACTAGCAGGACATACGGCCACTCCCAGTGACCTTCCCAGTGGTGTGTAACACTTCACATCGGAGGAAGGAACAGGGACAGCGGTGCCGTCGTTCTTGCCCTGTTTCACTGCTGAGCACGTGCACGACGCTGAACAACATTAGGGACCAAGTTTCCCTCACAGGCAGCATATTACCAGCAGCTATTTTTGCTGTTGGCCAAAACCCAGGATGCAGGCAGCCCCGAGCGAGCTGAGGAGAGGGGAAGTAGCGCCGCCTGCCGTACTCACTTGCCAAAGGAAGAGTGACCAGCTCCGTGCACTTCTTGCACATGATGGACCCGCAGAGGCGGCAGTGGTGCCGGCGGTTCCGGATGCTGAACTTGCTGCCGCAGTCGGGGCAGAACGGCACGTCCTGATCGCTGACCCAAGGCACAACGGACTTCTCGATAGCTGCGAGCGGGAAGGGGGGGGCACACACAACGCAGGACGCTCAGTTGAGTCCTCAGCTGCTTAAACTGCAGGAGCAAACAGTCTGAGGGATGCTCATACCAACCTCGGAGTTTAGCGGACTCGGTGTTTGCTCTGTCAAACGACGTCAGCTGGCAGGAGACAAACAGTATGTTCACGGACACTCTGCCTGTGAGAGAGAAAGCCCGGCGCAACACGAAGACGCAACCTGGCACGTGTCAGAGACAGAAGCCTCAGCCTGTTTCATGCCAGGTTTCTGCCCCTTTCCTTCCCTTTGCACTGGTAACGCCACACTCAGACCAGCCGGGCTACACACACCTCCGCAAACAGAGCACTGGGACATCATCCTTACAGCGTCCAACAGAACTGCATCTGCGCCAAAGCGCAAGCTCTGCTGGGTTCTGAGGACTGAGAGGCTGGCGGAACCATGACAAAACCATTAGGAAAAAGCCTCGTACAGGAAAAGATGGACAAAATCTAAAGGAAAACAGATGGAACTTGAAGCAGGCAAAGTAGCATGTTCAGCCTGAAAACAGGGTGTGGAAGCAGATATCGGATCCATGACAGGGTCAGAGCAAGCACAGTACGCAAGGGCGAAAGGACAGCAGTCACGCGTGAAGTCGTGCCTGCTATCCTGGGTCAAGTGCTCTGCTAAGTAAATGGGCACGCTTCCCACTAGAACACCATTTCTCTACCCCAGGAAACATTCCGAAGGCTGGAGTATCAAGAAGCAGCAAGTTTACCTTTTCTAACCTGATTATTAACTTGTTGACTTCAACTACATAGTGGTCGATCCTGGCTGCTCGGTGTTTCTTGAACTCCGAAAGATGGCTTCTCATAGCACCTGGAGGGAGAGTGGGAGGTGTCCGTCACCCGGGGCGCTGTATGCACTTCCACACAGCTGCATGCCTCCCGAGAGCAGCACCTAGTGTCGCCTGACTAGGTACTGCTCATGGGCAAAGCAGAGTGCAAAGCCACGGCAGAATCCTACACTTCCATGGCGCGCTCTGAGCGGGACACGCAGGGAAATCCTGAGGTCCAGGCAAGCAAGAAACAGCAGCTTATTTCTCTGACAGCCACCAACAGGCACAGCGTTAAAGAGAACAGCCGCTGCCAGCTTTCCTCCCTCCTCAGCCCTCAGTCCCACACGGCAAGCTCTGATCAACGAGCCGTACTCTCACACCGACGCCCTTTGGTTTCCTGGTCCGTGCTGACCCAAGGGGCGAGGCAGGTGGGATAACGGCCACAGGCCTGTGCAGCAGCAGCTGCCCCTGCAGCCTTCGGAGCATCCTCCCCCCTTTTGGGGCCCGAGTCACACCCCTGGTGACAAGCGTTTTCCGGCCAGCTGATCAGCCAGGGACCCAAAGGACAGCATCGCCTCCGCTTCAGACATGCACAGTTCGTACTCAACAGCACTGCTCTCCATTCTCAGTTCTGATCCTTTTCCAAGTAAGATGAGCTGGGTATTAAAACCCAAAGTTACAGACCCCCAGAAGAAACCAAATCCCAGCTCTTCTGGCTGGCAGAACACAAAACTGATGGGCTTTTGGCTACAGCCTGTGTAAGTGGGGGAATCTCAGTGCCTCACGCAGGTGAAATAACCAAACAAGCTCTGGAGCTGCATTCCTGGGAACAAGAGGGTCTCTGGGCAACTGGGTGCACCCACTGCCTTGGAGAGATCACCAGCCCTTCACCAACCCCCCCCAGCCTGAAACCTGCCAGCGTGACCCACGCCCTGGTCAGAGCGCACTTCCCCCTCTGCCGCTCACCGCTGCCCGTCCTTACTCCCAGCTCCTGTTCCTCCCGCGGTGTAAGGACCTGCCGGACTCGGGCCGCGCAGCCCCAACGGGCCAAGTCCTCCTCTGGCAGCAGCACAGGGGAAGCGTTCCCAGGATCCTCCCCTGGGAACAACCACTCCCTCTCGGCACGAGGCCATCCGCGTTGGGTAACCCCAGGCTCAGTCAACTCCTCCCTGAAATTCTGCAGGCCTTGGTGCCTATTCAGAGGGGCAGGGTGGACTTGGGGGGTTTGATCTGGGGGGGGGGTCTGCTTGTTTGGCTTCTTTTTCAAGTAAACCACTTGTGACTCCACCTCAAATCCAAGGAGAAACTTCTGGCTGAGTTTCAATCCACAGAGCAGCTTTTTGTCAGGCACATACACCAACAACCACTGTGGGCACAGCCCAAGAGCCGGGGATTCCATACAGCTACGGCCTAATGATCCACTGCTGCATGACCTGCCGTGGACCAGGCCCCAGGATGGCTGCAGGCACCCCTCGGACGCTGGATGCAGAGGGAAACATGCATCCAGCAGGTCTGCCCAGCTCAGGCAGTGACGTGACAAAGCACCCCCTGCTCTCCAGAGGAGCTGGGTGCTGACCCGACCCTTTTTTCCCTGTCTCTGCATTCCCCCCTGCAGGCAGGCTGCACAGTGCCAGAACTAATCCCAGGCTACCACACATCCCACGTAATACACATCCAATCCCAGGCAGCCTCGGCCGCACCCCGGCACTGCCCCCACTGGGATTACAGTTCTCCCCGGGTGTCCCACTTCCCAGTTCTCCTACCTACTTCCTGGGGCTCCCACATGTACGGATCGACTCCACCATAGCTGAACGACTCGTATCGGTCCTGAGAGCCAGAATCACTTCTGTCATCGCCTTCTCGCTTCAGCAGTTTCTTCTTTGCTCTTTTGGCCTTCTGGACTAGAGCTGGAAAAGATCAAGGCCCGTTACCAAACGGGGCCCGTAGTCACCACACACTTCTCACGAGAAACCACCCGCAGTGCTCCTCAACTGCTAGCACAGGTCTTGGTCCTCGGTGATGTGTATCTGCAGCACGTTCTGCTTAGAACCAGAGCGCGGTTCGGAGAATCGACGGTGCCATGAAACACTCTTAGCGCTCCTCCGTGGCCGGTAACAAAGGGCCTGATGACCAACAGCAGCTTTAGACACTCCATCCAGGGGCCTCGCTGTAGCACAGTGCGCCACCTTGACCTACAGCACCTGTGTCACGGTGTTCTGGGACAGCACGCAGGTAACACCACAAATCTCTTTGCTCCTGATCCCTTCGCTAGGATTCAAGGACGTCCAATGCCTTGTCTTGTTGCACAAACTACAACTGGCGATGCGCCTGTACGCCCAAGTAATCCCAACAGCACTAGGCAGCCCACTGCATCACCTCACATCAGCGCTGGCGAGAGGGCGGCAGCCTGCGGGGCCAAAACGAGACCAGGGACTGGAAACCTCCAAGCCTTTATCGCCCTGGCAGCTGTGTCCCCCCAGATGCCAGCAGCACAAGCTGAGGGCGCCACTGTTCCTGCCAAACACATTCAGTGTCTCCTTGAGCTAGATCCTTCACACAGCACGCTCCAAACAAGCTGCTGCTCACCCCAAGCGAGCGCGTCCTCTCCGATCTCTCCCTTCCTTAGCATCCGGAATACTGGACCTTCCGCCGTGCCCCTGCTGACCCCCCCGAGCTGCAGCCAGCAGGGCTGTGCCAGCAGGCCCCTCGTGCAGACACCATTCAGCTGAAGTTGTGTTCCCTCCCAAAACAACTCTCCCCAATATAACCCACGCCTCTCGGCAACGCTGCCAGGTTGGCACGGCCTTGGCCAGCCCTGCAACATCACCCAGGGAGCAGGATTTCTCCTCCCCCGCACCTACTCTCCAGCCACCTGGACACTGCAGGATCCCACGGGAAGGTTACGCCTCTACACAGAAAATGTATCTGCGCCCAGGACTCGGGAGCCTGACACACGAGAAAGCAGGAGCGATGCCTCGGGGCTTTGCAGAGGCACAGACGCTCAGCAAGCACACTCTCCATCCGGTTTGCAGCGCGTCACACCTCAGCCCTTGGCACAGCTCCACAGAAGCACTAGGGTGGTCTGGCAGCGGCTCTACAACTCCAGTACTGGGAGAGCCGGAGCTCAGCACGGACTCCTGCGCCCACTGGTGACGCACCGTTTGAAAGAGCTGATTCTGCTGGGCCTCATTCCTCTGAGCGGATGCCCCTGGGCACACCCTGACGCCAACAAGTAGGCTGGAAAGCAGGCAGAGAGAACCAACGTCCCTTAGGCCAGAGCACCTACCCAGGGCAGGCTGAGAAGGGCCGGGACAGTGTTTGACATGAACAGCACAGACTGACTGAAGAGAAAACAAGATCCAGATGCAGCTGCTGTGTGGGAAACGGAAGCGGCACTTGGGATCTCTTACCAACTCTAACCTGCTGTTTTCTCTCCCCTTATCTCAAAGAGAACCGTTCTGATGTTGTGGTCTCAGCGCTGTGAGCACGACTGCGGTGGTGAGCAGCCTGCCTTCACAGGCCAGGAGCGCGGCGCTAGCCCGGCCAGTGGCCAGTGACGGGCAGCAGCGGAGCGACTGGCGAGATCCCCAGCTGCGGTGCCTGAAAGGGCGGCCAGGTAAACCTGCCAGCTGGCCACTGAGGAGACAGCTCATTGTCACCCACCTCGGGGCACAGGGGAGGGAAAAGCTCAGGCCTCTGGCTGTAGTGGAATGAAATAAAGACCGAACGACTCCAGCAGAGAACACACCGTTATCACCAGTGCTTCCACATTCCTCTCTCCACGTTCAGTGACACAAGTAAAAGGGATTCTTCAACCACCAGCAGAACCTGGTGACCCACAGCACAACTCTGAGACACTCCCCGCATCTGCTGCCCCCCCCATTCCTGCCGGTCTCTTCCCACCAACACCCCCCATCCCTGCCGGTCTCTTCCCACCAACACCCCTCCTCAGCTTTGCACCTGAACTGCTGCTGCGGTTTGATCTGCTGGGGAAGCAGGGGTTGCTGAAGCAGAGATTTCCCGCATTCGCCCAGGACTGCAAGCAACGCTTGGGAATTCACCCGGGTGACGGCAGAAATTGGAGTTTTCAGAGGAAAACCAACCAACCACCTTCCTTTCAGAGGAAAGCCAACCCAACCCCGAGGCCAACAGTACAAGTCACAGGCGAGACGAGAGCTTTGAGGAGCGAGGCCTCCTGGGCACTGCCCGTCGCCCAGCTCCAACGCACCCACTGCGCCTGGGCCCAGGTGACCCGCAGAGAGCCCGTCCCCCGCCGCCACGGGGGTTCAGCGCCCGGAC